TGCAGCACAAAGTAGTATATCTTCATTACAGAATCCAGGTTATCAGGGCCAGGTCTCAGTAGCAGATCAGATGAGTTCCTCCAAATTTAGACTTCTTCATCTTGCTATAAATGATATCAAGAGCCAATCAATCTCTTTGGCTAATTTTTACATTGTGTTCTGGAAATGCCCTACCTCTTATTCAGGTGTTAAATTGGCTCTGAACTGAAGGATTCAAATGAGGGATATTCCAAAAGATCAAATAAGAAAGACAAAATTATCAGAGTTAACTAGCTTAACTCTTCCAGGGAGAGTCAAGACAAAGAAAAACCACTGATAGATGCCTTGGTCTTTTCTTTTATGCTTTTTACTTTTCAATTTATTTTAGAAGTTTATCAAAACAAAGTGAAGACTGTAATGGATGTCCTTGTGCCCATCTCTGAGAATTTATCAACACTTGATTCTTCAGTAGTTCTTCACTAGTCCTTCAAATCCCAGCACCTGCTAGATTATTTCAAAGTTAACTGCAGGCTTCATTTTATTTCAGGAAGTACCTCAAAACAATAATAATTTGGAAAACAAAGTTTAACCACAATATCATTTTACATCTAAAAATATGGCTTTTCATATTATACAATGTCTATTTTTTTAATTCCACCATTGTTTTATAAATTCCATATATAGGTTATGATTTGTTTGAATCAGTAAAAATTTCATATTGTACTTGGTTGATACATTCCTTAAATTTATTTTCATCTTACAGTAGCTTCAATCTCCTTCTACTTTTTTTTTTCTGGAAACACTGTCATTTCTAACGTATCAGCAAAAGAGCAGATAGGAGACTTCATGGAAAAGCTGCATGGGAGTTTAGAAATGTTGGATAACATTTATGTTAGAAACACTAGGAAGATTAAAACAGTATACATGAAGCATTGTTAGTTTAGTTTGCAGGCGACTATCTAATGTGTCTTACCTTATAGAACCATAGTATGGAAGAAAGTGCCCAGATTTGAATAAGATAAAGTATAGAAAAGGGGAACAAACAGGTTCAAAAATTCAGTTATAGGACAGGGCCAGTTGCTGGGCCTTATCTACAGAATTATGGCAAGGCTGAAGTGGCTGAATGTGTCTAAGCAAAGTATATATTCAGGTAACCCTGAATCATACATTTCTTATAGAGAACTCCACAACAACTGTCTAGTCTTAAACAAAAAGTGGAAACTCTCACCAGCAATCAGTGCTGTCCAGGAAGTAAAAAAGTACTAATCTTGCAGAATTTGTGAAAGAAGTGAAAAAAATTGAAGTATTGGGGGCACATATTACTGCTGCAGGATATCATGTAGGTGAGGGAATAATTCTGCTCATGTTAAGAGAAAGATTTTTAAGACTTGGAAACTTTGAAAACCCAGGAAAATCAAAGTTTTAAGGGAAAAAGCATGAAAGAGAATATAATGATCCTTGCTTGGAAATATCCACAATGGTTTTAATTATTTGCAGAAGACAGTTATATAAATGAGGTTACTAGGTTGTTAAGAAGAAACTTTATCATGCCAGGCATGGTGGCACACACCTATAATACAAGCAATTAGGAGGCTGAGGCAGCAAGATCACTGTGAGTTTGAGACTAGCTTGGGCTACAAAGTGAGTTCAAGGCCAGCCTGAACTGCAGAGTGAGATACTGTCTCAAAAAACAAAAGAAACTTTATCTGTAAGCAGGTATCCTTATTTTTTTTCAAATCCATTTTATTTCAAGGAGAGAGTATAAAAAAAAAACACTAAAACTAAATTTCAAAACACATGAATCAGGGGAGTAGCAATGGTACATACATTGCACATTATCATTCCCAAATATTCACACAGAGCACAAGACATCTGCATTCAATTGTCCAAACAATACCAGCACAAATCTTTCTCTTCAGTGAACTCAGAGACATCAATAGCATACCTTAACAAGTGTGTGTGTTTGTACGTGTGTGTATGTGTGTATGGTTTCATTTTCTCAATAGAGTGTTTACACATGTGTCTTATTTATTTCACTTATGCGTATGGTCTCAAGTTGCATTGATTTACCTATAAAATCTCTAGTTCAGCCTTCTTTATGGCTAAGTAGTGAGCACTCCATTGTACAAAAATACCACTTCTTCTTTATCATTCCTCAGCCAGTGGGTATTTAGATTGTTTCCAATATCTACCTATTACAAATTGTGCTGCTATAAACATGGGTGCACATATATCACTGTGGTAGGATGTTTTTCTTTTGGGAATATACCCAGAAGGGAGATAGTTGTGTCGAATGGGACCTGTGGTACTAGTTTTTTGAGGAATCTTCACACTGATTTCCACAGTGGTTACCAGTCTTCATTCCCACCAGCAATGGAGAAAGGGTTCCTTTTTCCCCACAGCACCCCCTCCAACCCAGCATTTGTTAATGTTTGATTGCTTGATACCAGCTGTTATTTCTGGGATGAGGTGGGATCTCAGTGTTGTTTTAATTTGCGTGTCTCAAATGACCAGTGATGTTGAATAGCTTTTTGAATATTTACTTAATGTTTGTATTTCTTCATCTGAGAAGTCTGTATTTGTCTTAGATATCCAGTTTTGGGTTGGATCTCTGAATTTAGGAGATTTGAAATTTTTTTTTTTTTTAGCTTTTTATATGTTCTCAATAGTAATCCTTTGAGGGACATCTGGGAAACATTTTTTCTCACATTGTGGGTTGTCTTCACTCTGTTGGTGGTTTATTTTATTGTGCAAAAGCTTTTTAATAAGATGAGATCCCAGTTGTTGATTCTTTGTGATAGTTCCTATGCAGTCAGGATTTTGTTCGTAAAGTCTTTAATTACACGAATGTCTTCAAGAGTTTTACCTACTCTATCTTCCAGCAGATTTAATGTTTCTGTGGTATCTTTTGATCCACTCTGATTTTTAGCTTAGTTCAGGGTGAAAGATATGGATCCAGTTTTAATCTTTGCCATGTGGAAAGCCAGTTTTTCCAGTCCCATTTGTTAAAGAGGTTTTCTTTCAGAGAATGTGTTTGGCACCTTTGTCAAAGACAAGGTGGTTTACTGCATCTCTGAATTTTCTAATCTGTTCCATGGATCTTCAGGTCTGTTTTTTGTTTTGTTTTGTTTTGTTTTTTGTTTTTTGTTTTTTGCCAATACTATACTGTATATTTTACAATAGCATTATAGTATAATTTTAAGTCAGGGATTGTGATGCTCCCTGACTTGTGATTGTTGCCCAGGATTGCCCTTTTCTATTCTAGGTTTCTAGATGAATTTTAGAATTCCAGATGAATTTCAGATGAATTTGAGGACTGTTTTCTCTAATTCTATGGGATATTCTATAGCTATTTTTATTGGGATTGCATTGAATCTATATAAAAGTTTTGAAAGTATAGTCACTTTCACTATATTGGTTCTATCTATTCAAGAGCACAGGTACCTATTTTCCAATATCATCTTCAATCTTTTTCAGAGTACTATAATTTTCAATATATATCTTTTACATCCTTTGTTAAACTGATTCCTAGGTATTTCAATTTTTAGGGGGATGCTATTGTAAAAGTTGTTGTTTCTCTGATTTCTCTCTCAGTGAGTTTGTTATTCATGAGGTTTCCTGATTTAAAGAGACTCTAGGACCACAGTGTAGAGCTTAATTAAGTCTAAAACTCTTTTAGGTTTCTATTGCAGAAGGAGAAATAGAGGAGAGGAAAAAAAGTAGAATTTCAGAGAATAAAATCATGAATTAAGGAGGAAATGGAAGCTACATTACTAGACAGCATCAAACACAAGGAACACTATATACTTCAAATGCAATAATCAAAGGAAAATAAAGGACTGGGAATATTGCTAAGTTATAGGGCACTTATCAAGCATGTGGCAGGCCCTATGTTTAATCTGCAGCATTGAAAAAAGAAAGAAAAGTAAAAAGAACTGTTTTTAGAAATTTTCAACTATACACAATGGTATAGAGAATAATACAGAATTTTCCAATCATGCAAACAAAGAGCTATGAAAGTGTCTCCACTCTTGTTTTTACCTATACTATAATTTTGTAGTGGAGTATGTTAAAGTTTCAGATTTCATATCATTTCACTAAATTTTTAAGACACAGGAGGGACATAAGGACCAAAGTGACTTTGGTTTAAAGCATGGACTATAGGAATCAATCCTGTACATTTTGAAGTTTTAGAATAGAGTATTATAGTTGACACTTTTTAATAACAAGACAGGACATGGATGTGGTCTACACTGCCACAAGTTCAGGCTAAGAGCAAATAGCCAACTTCTTCCTTGTGGGTTTGAATTCTTTGGTACTGACCACTGGATCATATGTCCAGCTGATATCTCTGTTGGCCATCCTTGCATTTTATTCCTGTGCCTGCCTTTCCCTAGAATAAAGCTCTCTGCTGTGTTCCATGGGTGACAATAAAAGTATGCATCTAAAGTATACTAATGTGAAACTAGGAACAGATCATTTTGCTTGGGATAATTGCTCTAATAGCATAGGACTTTCTTGGGTTTCCTGTACTTTTCATAGCATGAGTAATTTATTGGGTTAATGCAACTTTGTAGTTGCTAAGAAGCTATAGTCACTTCTAGTGCCTCAAAAATGGATCAAAATAGCTCAGCTCCTGACTGAAATGCAGACCCATCACAGAAAGGCCAGTGGATCCATAGCAAGCAGGGACAGTAAAACACTGAATGTAGTTTACAGGAGGAAGAAGAGTTTAATTTATAAGTTTAGTGCTTTTTTAAAAATTTAATAATCAACTGGTATTCAAGTTTGAAGTATTTAAATTTTATTATATGGTAGACTTTTGAACCTTTTTCTGCTGGCATAAAAATTGTATCATTTTTGTTGATCTTATTGCACAGAAACTCAACACACCTTATAGTAAATACAATTTTAAAAACTGATTGAGTGAATTTGTATGTCCTAAAACTAAAATAAAAATGGATCAAGGATCCAAGTGAAAGAGTTTTCGGCACGATGAAAGAGAGAATATAAAGTAAAAAATAGCCTTTATTCTAAGGACATGGAGAGAATTCCATGACCGCTGGGGCCTGGCTTTCTCTGGCTGACACCTGGGGCAGGGAATACACATATAACGTCTGACCAGAGGCTGTGCTTAGGGCGGGCATTGATCACACTCAAGGAGCTGATTGGAGTCTTCTTCCCACACAAACAGGAGCTGGAAAAGAAGCAGGAAGTGGTAGGTGTTCCCACTTTGGTCTTCTGCCCCTCATTAGACTCTACTGAGGCAAGAACTTTTCATTCCCATCTTTGTATTGTTAGGAAAAGGGAAAATCTCTTTTTTACTACTTCCTGTTGAAAGGGGCCGCCATATTGGGGTTTAGTAAGGTTGACGGGATGATGATTGATGCCCATGTAGAAGCTGGTACCAGGTGTTTTAGCCAGGAAAACTTCATCATTGGTGAATGTCCACATCTTCGACTGGAAAAACAAAGAGACAACGTGCTATGAGGAGGCAGGCCACTATCATATTTAAGTACCCAGGGGAGGTAGAAGGAAAGGAGTCTTTAATTTAAATATGCCATTCTATCAGGACCACAGTGAGGTAGAAAAATAAATGAAAAATAAATATGGGGTTAGGAGGAGTAAAATTATGAGAGGTGATTATTCCCCCATCTGAAAGAGTAACAATTAAAAGTGTAGGGAGGTAGGGCTTGTCTCTGGTCCAGGAGTTGAGCTGGAAAGAATAAGAGGGGTAGGGAAGGCCATGGCTGCGTCATTATTAGGGAGATAAAAACCTAGGCCCACAGGGATCTCATGGTTGACTAAACAGCTGAGGACAGAGAGAACTAAGACAGTTGTCATGTAGAACAACATGATGACGATCTTAAGCATGATGTGGGAGTCTTTAGGAAAGATTGTTAAGAGTCCTGCTGTAAAAAAGATAATTGATTAATAGAATATAAGGAATTTAGAAGTCTCCCTGGTTGTGGGAAAGGCTTTATCTATCCTGAAAAAGTACAAATAAAGATGAGAAGATATTTGAGAGACTTGTAGCAGGGCATGTGTGTAAGATCTACCTGCCAGTCCTGACCAGGGTTGTGTCTGTGAAATTGATGAATAGGAAAAGAAGAGGGTGCTATGTGTCCCTGAGGAGAGGTTTTATTATAGAGATGACAGGTGTAAGTTGTTGAGACCTCAGAGTGTCTGGGTTAGACAGCATAAACACAAAGGAATAAATAGACATTTTAAAATTTGTGACTGTAAAGTGAGTAGTGGAGGGAGGGATATGAGAGAGATTGGAGTAATGTCATTATTGATTACCCCAAGGTCCTGCACTAGACAATAAGACGCATCAGGCTTGAGTACTGGGAGAATGGGCGTATTATATAGTGAATGGGTAGGTTTAAGAAAAGCATTGTCTAAAAGGTGCTTAGTTATAGATTTAAGTCCCTATAAATGTTTGGGAGCTATGGGATATTAGGGATCACAAGGAAAAATTGAAGGATCCCTGAGGTGAATTAAAATAGGCATGGCATTGGTAGCACAAGTGGGATTGGAGGTATCTCAAACTATAGGATCGACCAGAGAAGAAGGGAGTCTGGAACTTGCATGGAATAGGCCCTGCCTGCAAAGGCTGCATAGGTTGGCTGTCAACACCCACCATAGAGACTGTGGACTAAAAATGGCCTAAAAACTCAGGAAGAACACTATACATGACCTCTATGTCCACAAGTACACAGAATGTCTTACCTGAGACCTCCAGTGGGACTTGGGGCTCTGAGGACACCTTAATGGAGGGCTGTGAACCCTGAGCCCCATCAGTCTTCAGCATCAAGTCCGAGTAGATCAGTCAGTAATGAATCCAGTGGTGATGAGGTCTCCTATGAGGGCAAGGAGTTAGAGGATGGCTTACCCCCTCTCCAGCAGCTAGGACACATGCATGCCTATGTTTATGAGAGTACAATGGCCCTTGAGATTGCAATAGGGGCAAGACCTCAGAAGAACACCAGGGTTGGGGCACTCTCTTACCCAATGTCCTTGTTTGTTGTATTTGAAGCATGATCTGGGAGGGGCCCAGGCAACTCCATCTTGTGTTGATTTACCTATCTCACAGCTCCAAGTGTCACTTCTAAAAGATCAGACTGTTATTTTTCCTACTGATTTTTATCTCTGTTGTTGAAAACATGAAAAGCCATATTAAGAAGGTCTCCCTGTGCTGTTTGAAGGTTTAGCCTTTTGTCTTGGGATCTGACCCACAGTGGAAGGTATCTGTCTCTTTTATAGTCACAAGACATCTAGTTTTCATCTTGGGTAGGTATACAGCTTTACATCTAAAGGAGACAAAGGCAAAGAATCAGTTAAGTATGCAGGAGTCAAATAATAGAATCAACAGTTTATGATTATAACTTTAGTAATGGCTTCCCATAAGGGGGATAAGGATAAGGTCCAGGGAATTTTAGAAACTGACATGTCATTCATTTGTCATTCCGTACATTTTGGTTTTACAATTGTGTAAGTATCTCTTATGCTGTTAGAATGTCTAATGCCATCTGATTTTTGGAGGATAGCCTGTTTTATTAATTTTACCTTTTTATTTAGGAGAGATCAGCTGCGGAGTCATTTAATACCAGTTGAATATAGTTAATTATGGCCCCAATATGCATCATATAACCTTTATCTGGAAAATATCTGATGGATCCCAGCAAAAGGAATTTATAATTATATCTTAATTGTATTTGTTGAACATCCAGAAGATTGATAAGACTATAGTGCAGTAGAGGCAGTAAGCTTAACATAGAACATTAAATGGAATTATTATTTCCTATTAACCATGGGTGTATTAACATTTGAGCACTGAAGAAATTCATGACATCAAGTGTTAAAGTAGAAACAATCTGGTGGAAGGCAAAACAGATAAAGCTCTTGAAGATATTGGCATATGCGAGATCTTTCTGAACAGAACTCCAACGGTACAAGAAATAATACTGTGAATCAGCACATGGGATCATATCAGACTAAAAAGCATCTGCACGGCAAGGAAAATGACTGACAGAATGAAGAGATAATATACATAATGGGTGTTTGCCAGCTATTCATCAAATCTAGGAGTAATATCTAGACTGAACAAAAACAAACAAAAAAATTAGATGCCCCAAAATAAAAACCAAACATTAAAAAGGGTATCTAAAATGAACAAACACTTCTCAGAAGAAGTACAAGAGACCAGTAAGTATATGGAAAATGTTCAGCATTATTAGTCATTAAAGAAATGCAAATTAAAAAGAACACCGAGATTCCATCTTACTCCAGAAAGGATGACTATCATCAAGAAATCAAATAATAACAAATGCTTGTGAGATTTGGAGAAAAGAGGACCTTTCTACACTGTTTTTGGGAATGTAAGTTTGTAAAAGCACTATGGGAATCAGTGCGGAGATTCCCCAATGAGCTAAAAGAAATTCCATTTAACCCGGCTATTCTTGACTTCTGGCTATCTTCCTGAAAGAGTTAAAGTCATTATATTTCAGTGACACATGCATGCCTATGTTTATGAGAGTTCAATTCATAATTGCTAAATCTTGAAAATAACGTATATGCCATCAACAGATGAATGTATAAAGAAATTGTGGTGTTCATACACAATGCGGTATCACTGTCAAGAAGAACAATAAATCCAAGGCATTCATAGGTAAATGAGTGTACCTTGAGACCAAAATTAAGATTAAAATAGATGTACAAGCTTAGATACCTCATAGTTTCCTCTTATATGAGAAACCCAAAATATAAATAAATAGCAAAGTAAAACAAATAATAGAAGTAGGGAGATCTTTTTCTCAGACAGGAAGAGGAACAAGAGATGGATGCAGAGGGGAGGGAAGGAAGGAAATGAGGGTACCAAATGAATTGAAAGAAAGAATAGAAATAGAGCTTTTGCAAATGGGTAAGAAACCAATAGATAGAAGAGGAGAGGGAAATAGAAGGGTAGGGGACAAAAAAGAATTAAGATGTGTTATGACAATAAATGTAATTATATACTATAAACTTATAGTGATTAAAGAATAATAAAAAAAAAGGAGGGAATTTTCATCCTGAGATGTAGGGTGTGCATTTAAGGTAAATTTAATGAATTACCTGTCTTTCTCAGAGCATTTGAGTCAACATTTAGATCACTCAGGTTCTTGAAGGATACAAAAACATTTCCTATGTGGACGTAGAAATAGACCTGCTCACCTGGAACAGGAGCTTCCTTCCTGGAGTGTGTCAGCCTGGCTCCTGGTCTCATCAGGGTCGGCAGTGTTGTGGCTTAGAAAACAATATCCCAAATTACAGCCCTTTGACTTGAGTTAAAGAAGCAGTCACAAGATTTCCTTGCCTCCTATCACCTAACCCTCTTTCCTGCAGCACAAGGTGAGGCTTTCTCTGCAATGCCATGGTCTGATTTAACAGAGGATATTAGTCAGTTTTCCTACTGCTGGAACAAAAATATCTAACACTCACAACTGAAAGAAGGGAAGGTTAAATTGACTCAAAGTTTCAGAGTTTTCAATTCATGGTCAGGTGTTTCCAAATCATAAGCACCATGATAGAAGGATATGATGGAGCAAAGGTGATCAGTTCCCAGCGACCGGGAGGCAGGACAGGGGAACAGCAGCAGCAAATCTACCCTCCAAATCCCACAGGGTCCCACTTTTAATTGGGCCCCACCTCATAACAACACATTTAGCTATGAACATCAGTGATCTAATCACTTCTCCAGGAATCATTTAATCCAGTCAAGTTGGCAATTAAACTTAACTATCACAGGTAGTTCATTCCTCCAGAAGGAATGGAATTGTCTTAGGTTGCCTCAGTGAAATCTCATTAACCAGGGAAGGTTAATCATCAGAGAATAAGCTAAATGCTGTCACCATCACACCTGCCCAGACAGGTTTTCCACCTATTCTTCTGAGGGTTCTCCACTGACTGAGTTTATTTGCCATAGCAGTGTTTGCGGTGCACTGTCACCTCTCCCCTTGCCAATAGTATCTCACTTCTCCCCTTAAGCTCACTTTGTCCCAAGCTATTGTTCTCTAAGTCCATTCAGCTACTCTAAAAATCATTTATCTTCTTAAGATGTGTTCCCAATGTTCCTCACTTCTATAATGAGTATATAAACTTCTTTCACTGGATTATTAGACACTCACTTTTCTTAATGCTTTGCATGCCTTTTCTCCTGTTAATCTATTGTCAGTTTATTGCAATAGAAACAATTACCAACCTTCAGGAGGCATAGAAAAAGTTCCCTTCACCTCTATAGCAGTTCACCCCAACAGGTGTCAAGCTCCTTTATTTGGGAAGAGATAATGTGGCACTCTTGTGCTCCTCTCTCCACATTTTCATAGTAGTCCAAATATGAAAGGACTTCCACCAATTTTCCTAATTGCTTGGAAGTGCCATACGCTCCTCCAAGCCCTCCCCCCCTTTTTGGTACTGGGAATCAAACTCAGGACCTAATGCTTACCAGGCAGGCACTGTGCCACTGAACTATATTTCCAGACCCTGCCCCCATTTTTGATCCTTTGGAACAGAAATGGTCCATAAGGCCTCTGACAAGTTCTTCCCTATAGGAGCTGGAGATCTCAACTCACCCTTGTCTTATGTTGTCACAGAAAAGAATTTTAGGACTAATAGGGGAGTGGCATAGATAGAATTAAAGTTAAAGAAAATAGAATATGGAAAAAATAGAACATGGGCTCTTAAGAGAGGGATACATAGTCTATGATGAGGGAGGTTATGTGGACTCGGGGATGCCTTGGATGATCTAGGATGTGTATTCTTACTATCTGTCATGTTACTCATTAGTGTGGAAGTCAGAATGTAAAGTATTTGCATGTGTTTGAAGTTTCGTGCTATTTCCTGGAAGATGAGAGTCTATGGAATTTGTGAATCTAAACCATTAGAGGAATAGAACAGGCTCAACTTTCAGGTAAAAATCACAGGGCATAATTTACAGGTTTAGTGTATCTTTAAGACTTCTCCAAGGGCTTTTAATTTATTTTGAATGAGTTTCCTGAAAGGTCAATATACTTTTGAGTAACTTACATTGTGTTCTGAAGCTGCAGTTGGTCTGAAAAGTACCATTTTAAATTATGATTTTCTTTCTCTCTTTTCTAACTATTATTTATTCTATCTTGCTCTAGGTAAGCCAACCTCACATTGATTGGGTCATATCTTGCTAGAGGTGAGTTTCCTGGGTTTAGGGCAAACATGTATGAAACTTTTCTTTCCTTCTTTAATCACTTAAGTGAGGCCACAAGGTTAGGGTAAGTGGGTTAAGCCATAGCTTGCTTGCTTTTTTCTTTCTTTCTTTCTTTCTTTCTTTCTTTCTTTCTTTCTTTCTTTCTTCCTTCCTTCCTTCCTTCCTTCCTTCCTTCCTTCCTTCTTTCCTTCCTTCCTTCCTTCCTTCCTTCCTTCCTTCCTTCTATCCTTCCTTCCTTCCATTTTTTTCCTACTGATATTGTTGCAGCAGCTGAGTTAGTTAGAAATATTACAGGCAGTGAGACAGGGCTAGGTCTTTGATGGAGTCGGTGCAGATACCTGGCAACTGTGGGGGAGATTGAGAACTCCTGCTGTGGGCCACGCCTCGAGATAAAAGACCAAACAAATGCACCATATCTTGGGGATTGATACTGTAAATAATTTCCATCCCCCTACGAAAGAGTCACTGTTCCGTAAGAATGCCCGCTTTCTACATGACTTGGCTTCCCCATTTGTCCCTAATACAATCAATTTTACCTGAACTATTGATCTTATTGGCTAACTGTAGTTATGTCCCACCTTAAGCCCATCTGTCTTGTGAGCTCCCAGTCTTTGCCGCACCTTGAACCCATGGTTTTACTATATAAAAGTCCCCGGAAAAGACAGAGTCCTTGGCAACCCGCTCAGGACCCCTTCTGTCTCTCTTCAGAAAGAAGCTTTCTTTCTCTCAAAAATATATTCTACTCTTAACCTCCATTGTTTCTAAAATTCATTCTTCAGTTTTAGAGAACACGAGCTCATGGACATAGTAGGTTGGGAGTTTCTTTTTTTTTTTATTTTATTTAAGAGGAAAAAGAGAAAAACACAAAACAAAACAAAGCGGTGTAAGGGTACACGTAATATAGAACTACAAAAAAAAAAAAACATAACAGTAAGAAATCACCTGTTAATAGATTACATATTATCATCTTGAAAATAGTTGCTCAAATCACGGTATCAAAGAATACAAGGTGGACATTCAAACAGGGAGACTGCAAACAGTTGTGTTCAATGATCCAAAAACATTGATATAGTCAGCTATTTAACACCCCTAAACACACTTGCTGTTATATCCGTTAGAGCTCTTTTTATTTTTTTTCCCTCTCTTTTTTACAACAAAATTTACACATTTTGGATTTTATTACTCCTTAGTGCTTATTACTTTTTTGGGGGGGGGAGAGAATACAGTCAAATATGGCAAAACAAAGCTGTCAGTCAAAACTAAGGATAGACATAGCACATGGTGTAGAACAGAGCACAAGGTTATCAACAATGGTTATTAATGTTGTCTCTTGTTTCCTTAAAAAGAATTGTCTATCTCATTAGATATTATAAAGTTGGACAAAACAGTAGAGAACAAGACCAATAAAACTTAGGCATTGTAAACATTACAGGACTTCCAAAGAAGACAATAGTCAAACCAGAATGGGCATCTTAGTGAATCTTATTGCCTTCAAAGTAGTTGCCTATATCCTCAAACTTGATACTATCATACAGAATGGAACAGAGTCTAATCAGTCAAAACAAGATCGTGGGAGTATTACAGGACTTCAATACAAGTTAATAGGAAATCAAAAAGAGTTACTATATATATATCCTAATTTTTTAAATTTTTTCCCTTAAGTAAGACAAACATAAGAAATGACTAAATAATTTTTTTAAAAGAATAAGGGGGAGATTGAGATAAAACAGGACATAACAATATAACAATAGAGGTCAAAGCATGACTGTTTCAGCAACCTAGTACTTCACCACCATATAACCCGACTTAATAGTAGTTACCATAGTGTCTGTCTTTTTCCTTGAAATATTTGGATAAAACTTCATATACTATAGCTTCAAGTATTTCCATATGAAGAAGCGCAGAAT